TTGAATTTATATTATAAATATCAAATGCGGAAGCGAAGTCAAAATTTGAATAACATCCCTTACACTAAAACCAAAAACGTGCTCACAAAATATAAAAGATTAAACTACCTAAAGGAGAAACTTGAAAGTAAAAACTACGAATGTGACTATGAAGTCCTTAGGCGTCCCCTTCATCGTCCTTCTGCGGAACCGGCTCGGGAACGATGTCCTCTTGATCTGAAATGATTAAATAAGGAATGAGCTACACTAGCCCAGTAAAGACATCACGATATCTCACCGTCACGGAGGTAAAGGTGGGTAGAAAACACAAAAAGATCAATGGAACATAATTTACAACAAATCCTTTTATTAATAATAGAACCTTTACCATTTACTTACCTCGGTGAAATTCATAAAATAATATACGAAAGCAATAACATCATCATCATCATGAAACCATATATATAAACTGTATAACATAATACCTATCAAGCTTTTCGTAATTCAATCGTTACACAACATATTTTCCTCATTTACCAGCCCACTAGTATCCATGGGGATCCATAGGAGTCCCGCTACCCGTTAACCCTTAACACTTGAAATCATATTCCAGGGCCGTCCCCATACCCCGTCCGGTATGGGCGCCAAACCATAGACCTCATTACCCCGTCCGGTATGAGGGTGAAACGGGTCGTCCCCATACCCCGTCCGGTATGGGCGCCAAACTATAGACCTCATTATCCCGTCCGGTATGAGGGTGAAACGGGCCGTCCCCATACCCCGTCCGGTATGAGCGCCAAAACACATAAGATCTCCTTACCCCGTCCGGTATGGGAGACCACAATCCTGGTAGGGTTCTCTATGGACCCAGTCCGTCCACCATCTCCCAGGATATCTAGTCAGGCTGAACACATTATACAATTTCCATTTACATAATCTTTCATTCTCCTTTTCCCTCAGTCAACATTATCAATCACATACAAACAAGCAAAACGATAATTTATGCCAAACGGACAACATACAGCATCAATATCCCAGTCATTCAATCCATAATCAATAAAACAGTAAAATATGCACACGAAACTATAAAATGAAACCATCGAACCTCATGCTGCATTTAAAACTATAAAACAGGCCAAATAACAGTTAACTGACAAACACACTAGACTCGGGCTCCATTAGCAACCTTAAGCAATTTCACACATTCGTTGATTCATGAAATACCGTTTTATCATTTATTGAACTTTTAAACCGTGATAGAAAATAGGGTGAGGGGTCTTTACTCGTTTCGGGGTCTGAACACGGCTTCACAGTGCGCCTACAGACTGTCCCTAATTTTTCCTGAATTTTTCTCGGGGAACTGAAATGCACTACTGGTACCTGCACGTGTTCCAAAAAATCCCAAATTAGGCCCAGGGCCCCTTTTGGCCAATATCACAACTCCGGCACGGCGGCTCTGCCATGCTCCAGCAACGGCGCCGCCACTTGCGGCGGCAGTTTGCCTATGGTTGGCCGTTTTCGGCTGTTTCCGGCCGAATTCGGCCACACTCGCATTGGTTCCTGCGATAAAACAACCGTACGGCCCTCGGGGGGCCGAAAATTTACGGAAAATCGAAGCTTACCGGTGGCGGAGCTCTCGGGTGCGGCGGCTCTCTGGTGAAGTTCGTGTTTTGGTGATTCGACTCCGATCAACCTGTAGAGAAAAGAATGGTGATCACGGTGATATAAAAATTGCATTAAACGGAGGCCGAGAAAGGGCCTCAT